TCCTGCCCGGGTTCTGAGATCCTGCCCAAAAGGAGCCGGCAGGTGAGCGGCGGGCGAGGGCCATCCTGGGTCCGTCTCCTGATGGCACAACAGTTACATGGCTGGACTCCCACATGCCAACCAGGGTTCGAGTCCCCGATCTGGCGGCTTAAAACTCACACCAGGCACGTGTGTGTACGTGCCCAAGAGCCCAAGAGGAGAATGGAGGAGAAGGGATTGCGGCGTGACTATTCCCTCTGGGGGTTGATTTCTCGCTTTCCTGCTTTCTCTCTCTCTCTCTGGCAAGTGCACACCCCCTATGGTAAAAACCTTAAAAAATAAATTTTAAAAAAATCTACTGACCAGCTTTTCCCCAGAACGATGCCTGTCCCTGAGAGCAAAGAGTGTCACAAGAGACGCCGTCAACCTAGGCCACCTTCTGCCGACCTCGCAGAATCTGGGGGCTCGGCCGGAAGGACCCCGAAGGCCGAGGAACCCGCAGGCAGTAAGCACGTGGCTCCAGCAGGCCCGTAACCTCAGAGCACACCTGCGAGGCCACGTGGGAGGCCTGGCCCTGGGTGGGGACGGCAGTGGGAGGAGCTTGGGGCCCACACCCTGCAAGCCGGATCACAAGACCCTCTCGCAGACAGGGCTGTGCGTTTTGCAGGGACCAGCTTCAAGCAGGTGGGGAAACCGAGGCTCAGGGAAGCTGGGTGCCTTGTCCGAGCTCAGGCTCAAACCCAGGACCATCCCAGACGAGGCTGTGGCTGGCCTGTCACCTTCGGAAGTGATGACAGCGATGGGAGGAGTGGCTGCGACGTGCCTGTCACCCTCCCTGTCACCTGGCAGACCAGAGTCCTGGCCCGGAGCCAGGCAGGGCACCTGTCCTTTATCTGCAGATCAGTATTTGTCACCCTGCCTGGAAAAGGGGGTGGCTTGGCAGCACCAGCGAGCTGCCAGTCTCCGACGACTGTGAGCTCACTGTGAGCTTTCTCTTACAGATCGTTTTGTCACCTGCCTTCAGACAAAAGCGGGGATCTCAGCTCGAGGCGGCGAGATTAGTGTCAGGAATTTGCTCACGAGGTGACAGGCACCAGAAAATCAGGAGGCGCAGAAAATCAGGAGGCGGCTCTGGCAGGCTCTGCCGATCCAGGTAAGGCGCGGGCGGAGACAGAGCGAGGGGGAGGCCTCCCAGGAGCTTTGGAAAGGAATGACAGGTTCTGGTGGGTCGGACTAGCACCTGACTGCACTGCAGGGAGGTTTAGAGGAAGCAGCCCCCCGCTCCCCCGAATCCAGGCCCCAAGTCACTCCCGAGGCAGCCCTGGCAGCATTGCACGGGGAGCCCCTGCACCGGAATCTTCCATGCCAGGCCTTGCAGACCCGACTGCACTGACAAGGCCCACAGCCCTAGGGGGCCCCTGCTGGCCACCTCCACGGTCCTTACACCCAGCGCTGGGTGACCCTGTGCTCACTCCTGCTCCTCCAAGGCCTCGCTCACTTGAGCCCTGCCCCTAGCCGAGAGCACCTCATGGAGTGGCAGGCTGCATTGGTCTCTCACTTTATAGTTTTTTTTTTTTTAAAGAGATGTTTGAGGGACCAGCAGTTAGCGTAATGGCTATGTCGCTGGATTCCCACATAGTGGACCGCAGTTCGAGTCCTGGACCCGGTGGCTTAAACTCACACCGGGCGCATGTGCATGCGTGCCCAAGATCCCGAGAGGAGAATGGAGGAGAAGGGATTGCGGCATGGCCATCCCCCCGGGGGGGTGATTTCTCGCTTTCTGTCTCTCTGTCTGTCTCTGTCTGGCAAGCGCACGTGCCCTATAGCAAAAACCTCTCCAAAAAAATTTAAATAAAAATAAAAGAGATGTTTGCTATAGGGCGCGTGCACTCGCCAGGAAGACAGAGAGAGACAGAGAGATAGAAAGTGAGAAATCACCCCCCAGGGGGGATGGCCACGCCGCAATCCCTTCTCCTCCATTCTCCTCTCGGGATCTTGGGCACGCACACACATGCACCTGGCGTGTTTTTCAAGGTGCCAGATCCAGCACTTGAATCACTGAGTTGATATGTGGGATCTAGCCGCCCTGCACACCGTGGGCTGTCCCCAAAATTGGGAGGTCGAGAAAAGTCATGGCGTATTTTTCTACACAGAAACGCGTCATGACTTTGCAGATGACCCCACATATATTTTTCAGATGACATCGACACTTAGGTCAGGTAGACTCTGAATAAAACAGATCATCCTGGGACCAGCAGAGGGCGTAATGGTGATGTCGCTGGACTCCCACGCAGTTGACCGCAGTTCGAATCCCAGACCGGGTGGCTTAGACACGTGCGTGCGCAGTGCCCAAGATCCCACGAGGAGGATGGAGGAGAAGGGACTGCAGTGTGGTCATCCGGGGGTGATTTCTCTCTTTCTGTCTCTCTGTTTCTCTCTGCCTCTCTAGCAAGTGCACACATCCTATCATAAGTCAACACAATTAGAAGAAGAAAACCGCTTATCCTCCACCATGTGGGTGGGTCTCACCCAATCAGCTGAAGGCTGAGGTCCCCGGATGAAGGGCGTGTCCCTGTGGACCCAGGCTGCAGCTTCCGCCCTGCTCAGGCTCTTCGGCCTTCCAGACTGCGCTGCAGATTTCACACTTGCCCTGAACCCCACAACCACAACCACAGCCACCGCCTTAAAGTAAACAGATCTCAGGGCCAGGCGGTGATGCGGCAGTACTGGAACGGGACCCGCGTGGGAACGGTCTTGGGCTTACATCCGGGACTTCCCAAGCACATGGCTGTGCATGTGGGTGTCCCTGACCCGGCTGGGAGGACTCGGGGTGAACCACAGCGTGGGGACCTGACTGGGGCTGTCTGTCTGTCTAGTCTCGTTCCCTCGTTATGGAAGAGATCAGTGAATTTTAAAAATTAATAAAACTTTCAAAATTAATAAGTAGCGGAGCCGGCAGGTGGCATGGTAGTTAAGGGCACTGGACTGCCACATGGCCAACTGTGGCTCCATTCCTGGGTACGTGCGCTCGCCAGACAGACAGAGACAGAGAGACAGAAAGTGAGAAATCACCCCCCAGGGGGGATGGCCACGCCTCAATCCCTTCTCCTCCATTCTCCTCTCGGGATCTTGGGCACACACACACACGCGCCTGGCGTGAGTTTAAGCCACCGGGTCCGGGACTCGACCCGCCGTCGACTCCATGGGAGTCCAGCGACAGAGCCATTACGCCAACTGCTGGTTCCCAAAATAATTCTTTAAAAAAAAAAATTCATAAATAGGGGCCAGCAGGTGGTAGGCTGGTTAACGCACTGGACCCCACATGGCTGAATGTGCGAGTCGAATCTCAGACGCAGCGGCTTGACAAACA